TTCAGCTCGTCTGCTGTTTCTGTTTCATGCAGATATTTTTATGTATAGTTTCACAAAATTGAAGCCAGACCATTCTGTTTTTGCTTCAGATTTTGAAATTATACAATCTAATTTAGATTAAAAACTGCTCGTGTTGCATGTATGCAGCATCTTTGTTTGAATCGTGATTAAAATGCAGTGGTTGCCTCTGATTTTAAATGGAAAGAGCACAGACAAAGCCTTAGTTTGTTTATACCAAGAGATTTCTTTTATGCGTGTTACTTCTTTGATTTGGGGCTTGTTTTACGTTTTCAATTTAGATTTGTTATATTTCAATTTCACAAAGAAACGTGCAGCATTTTGTCCACGCAATAATAAAAGGACACATTTTTCATTTACTGTATAATGTGTCTTAAATCTCATTTTGATAAAGGCTGTCAATTAGCACTGCATTATGTGAGATGATGTATACTTTTAATATCAGTCTTTATTCTTCTCATGCTGTGTAACATATAATCATAGTTTTATATGCAAGGCTGAACTACCTCCTATGTTTCTGTTAGGAACTGATAAACAAGTACATGGTACGTTTTATTACAGATGCTCTTTATTTGACTTCTTTTGGACTGTTGAACAAAAACACCCGCCTACTCCCCTTCTAACGCTTGGAAGAGCAAGGGTAACTTTTAATATAACTCCGATTGGATTCGTCTGAAAGAAGAAAGTCATATACACCTAGGATGCCTTGAGGGTGAGTGAAACATGGGCTAATTTTCATTTTTGGGTGAACTAACCCTTTAAGAACATGGGTTGAAGCTCTTAATTCTGAACTCTTAAAAGTGCATTCGATAGAATAATTTAACTTTAAAATGTACAAAAGTCTTCATTTGTCTTTTTTTTTTTTATATTGCAAAAAATATTGTACCGTGGACTTCAAATCGAGATATTATCGTACCATGATATTTTGATATCGTTCCATCCCTAGGAAAAAAAACAATGCAAGTTATTAATAGGGTTCACAAACAAGGTCCAGTTCTGCTGGTTGTGTGATCAGACGTTTCTGAACAGATTTTATGCGCCTCGCTCGCTGACGAACCCGCCGCAATCTGGTTTTAAGTGTCGTCTCACACGCAAACGGCTTGATTGGGGCTTTTATGGATTTATTTTCTGAGCTCTGGCACGCCGGAGCGCTCGATGGTGTGAATGTTAAAAGCCCCGAGCATGTAAAATCTGCTCTGAAAACAAGCGGATTAAGAGAGGAGAAGTTTACAATGTCTTAATGAAGTCTATAAATGCAGCAGCATCCGTCTGAACACGCATCGCTCCGTCACATAAACTTCTGGAATAATTTCTGTCCTTTCGAACATGCTGCGCTGATACCACGGTACAGTGATGGTAAAACTATGGTACTTTGATACATATATATATTAGTGCTGTCAAACGATTAATCGCATTCAAAATAAAAGTTTTGTTTACATAATACATATGTGTGTTATGTCTGTGTATATTTATTATGTACATATAAATGCACACACGTGCATGAAAAAGCATGTGAAAATATTTACATGTATATATTTATATTCATATAATTTATATTATATATAAATATATTTATTATATAAACATAATATAATAAACTATAATATAATATTTCTTAAATATATACATGCATATACATAATAAATATACACATATATGCGATTAATTGTTTGACAGCACATACATATATATATATATTCACTGATTCTGAAATAAAAAAATTTCCACTGAATGAGTACCATATTAAGTTATTATGGTATTTTCAAGACACTTCAAAGAATACAGTGGTACATGATTAAAAAAAAGGTACTTTTAATAGGAAAAAATTTAAAATTCAGTCAAAATTATGACAAAAAGTAATACAATATGGTATCTCAAGTTCAACTGTGACTTTTTGTCAATTTTGTTTTTGTCATTTTTTTTACTTTATATTTCATATATATATATATATACATATCAGAATTTCGACTTTGTCATTATTTAGACTTTTTGTCATAATTGTGTTTTTAATATTATTGTTTATTTATTTTCTTTGGTACAAACTATGGTACTTTTAATAGGGAAGCATTAAAAATTCAGCTGATTTAAAATTCCTTTCTGGCACTCATTATAAAAGGTACTTTACCATAGCAGTAATATCACAGTACATGGAATTTTTTTAATATATCTCACAGTACATAACATAATTATCATAATAATGTAACGTGCCATTTACATAATACACAGAACAGCATTAACAAAAAAGTACCAGGGTAATACCATGGATTTGTGGAGACAGTGCCATAATAATACAACAGTATTATTTTAGTACTTTGCTGTAACACGTAATGGTTTGTGAATGCTGTAAGCAACTGGTACCATGGTATGTGTCGGAATACTATGGTATTACCACATTTTCTGTAAAGACGGGACTGACGCGCACTCATAATCGTTATTTATAATATTTTAAACTTTTTGATACAGACATGTATTTTAAACTTTATATTATATGTGATAATGAAGGTGTTTCTTACCCAGTCTGCTCCAAGCGCATGATTTTCAAACACAACAGCGCGTGGACTCCGTATACAGTACTTCCGGTTACTGTCAACAAGTGCATTATGGGAGTCGTAGTTTTTCAACATGGATTCGTAGTCCATGACCCCGCGTCATGTGGATCATAACGGAAATATGATAAAAACAACTTAAGATTGATAATTTACTCTTTATGGTAACGTGAAGACAGAGTGTATATTATTTTTCATGTTTGTAAATCCCAAATCAGTGACACTGAAAACCTGTTGGCCATAAAGTCATATACATACATCCCAACCGAAGTATATATCAGAAATAAGTACTTTTATTTTGTCTGTGCAAACGTGAGCACGTGAGCCGCTCCAGATGGCCCTGGTTAGAGCATCCATGTGCTGCTTTATCTATTAACAGCCCTGCAAACTCTCAATTAGATACAAGAGGGACTCATAAAAGACAAGCAATAAAACATGTAATTTTTGCATGCAGCGAGTGATAAATCAAATGACTCACTTTACTTCACTTTAATTTAGGCATTCCTGGATCTGCAGAAAGGCCAGAGCTTTACAGGGGCCACAGGGGCCAGGATGGGGCCCGAGGGGGCGGAGCCTGGAACTGTCACTCTTTAGAAGTCGACCAATGGGGTGGAAGGGAGGAAGTGAGTGACTAATACTTCGACCCCTGAATTGATAAGCAATTCTTAATTATGTTTTATTACGTCTTATTGCTTTCTCTCTCTTTTTTTCTTCTTGTATCTTAGTTTTATACTCTGTAAAGCAGTGGTCAACTCCTGTTGTGTTTATTTGTGCTACATAAATAAATGAAATGAAATGAATGAATGAATGATATGTATGTATCCTATATACACTACCAATGATGATTTTAATGTTTTTTTAAAGAATTCTCTTCTGCTCACCAAGCCTGCATTTATTTGATCCAAAATACAGCAAAAGCCGTAATATTGTGAAATATTTTTACTATTTAAAATAACTGCATTCTATTTGATGTATAGAAAGATCCAAAGATCAGCATTTATCTGAAATAAAAAGCTTTTTTAACATTATACACCATACCATTCAAAAGCTTGGAGTCAGTGTAATTTTTTTAAATAAAAATAAATTATAGAAATTAATACTTTTATTTAGCAATGATGATAAAGACATTTATAATGTTAGAAAAGATTTATATTTCTGATATATACAAAAAACACTTATTTATTTACAAAATATTATAGATTTTATTTATATTGCATATCCAGATAAGAACACATAATCCAAAGACATAACGAGAAGAAATGTTTTAAACTCTCAATAGAGGGCAGCATTGATCTATGTGTGCTTTTCTTTCAGGCTATTGATTTTGCCTCAAGTTGAAATTTTGAAAAGCACCCTTTGGCAAGATTCATACCAGTTTCAGTCGATATCACTTTAACCTTCATTCTGGATCATACTTAATACACTGTTAAAATAAAATAATCTGACTCGACTCGCAGAAGCAGGACTGGTCAATACATCCAGGTGCTGCTGCATGCAAATCCAGCCATAAGAAAAACAGCTATAAATCAACAGCGTACACCTTCAGATGGCTCTTATTTCATTCTCGCCTTCAGCTCCAGGTGTTAAACAAATACAGATCGAGAATTAATACTGACACTAAACTCAGCAGAGACGCCGGGGACGGAAACACTGCAGAAGCTGACACAGTTCACTGGAAATCTGCTTCAAAGCAGGTGGATCACGAGCCAAAAACTGCTCACGGGTCACAGACAGCAGGGAAAATAATGTCAAGATACAGATAATGTAATATAAATATCCATATAATTGTGTATAGGCTTGCAAAACAACAACATTTATCCCCAGCATTTAACTTTCTGGCAAGGTTATGAACAAACATTCTTCCAGTTACATTAACACAATGTTCATTCAGACGTTTCTGGTCTTTAGTAATGTACTCAAAATGTTAGCTAATGTTATCATTTACATATTGATTTATTAAATGTTTTAGTTGGAGGTTCATGTAACATTTTTAAATGTTTCTAATTGTTTCAGAATGTTCAGAGAACATTTAAAAGTAACATTCCATGATGTTTGCGAAATGATACAATGGGATGTTCCTTTAATGTTCACATGACCAAAATACGGTTTTTAAACATAAAACTGGACATTTTCAATGTTCGGAGAATATTCAGAATCAACATTTTCATAACTTAATGGGAACGTTAGCAAAACGTTTTTGTTAGAGGCCTCAACTTTTAAGCGGCGAAAACACTTCCCATAGTTTTTGTTGATGATGTCACAGGCTGCGCATCCAATCAAATGCTCAAATTGGACAGATGCAGCATTACAGTTTGTGTGACGCCTTTATTCTCAAAAACTATAAACAAAAGTACACAAAGATAAAAGACAATATCACCAGCCTAGCAAACAAAATACGTTATAAGAACGTTTCGCTAACGTTCCCATTAAGTTAGAAAATGGAGCGTCCAGTTAAATGTTCTTTAGAAAGTGGGCCAATTTAGTCCCAATGAGTATTGAAATAGTACACTTACAAGTATACTACTAGTACACTGATATTTGTATACTTACTACATAAAGTATACTTAAAAATATACTTGAACTTTACTTAAGTATACTTAATAAAATAAACTTGAAGTATACTACTTTTTGGTAAGGGTGGTGATGCAAACATTCAGGGAATATTTCATTGTAATTTTGCAAGCATGTTACTTTTCGCTGTTCCCTGAACGTTCTGAAACAAGTAACATTTAAAAAATGTTAAACAAACAAACAAACAAAAAAACTATTCCATGACCGATGTATAAGTAGCCTAATGTTTTTGTGCTCACGTTTTGAGAATAATTTTAAATACCAGATAACTTTAAACAAACATTCTATCAACGTTACTGGAAGAACGTTTGTTCGTAACTTTGAGGGAAGTTCTAAGAACGTTATTTGTTTCTGTTTTGAAGCAGTGGAGAAGCACTGATCTTTCTTCAGGACTGTAATGAGTTCAGAGACTGGTCTTCACTCGTGTCGCGGGCCGTGAGCTCGGACCGTGACCCGGCTGTGATCTACAGGAGGGAAGATTTAACACTTCCCATCCACCCTTCCCCCAGAAGGCCTCTCAGAGACCAAAGACGTGTCTGAATAGAATTCAGCTGATACTTTTTCACTTTATATTCTGCAAACTGCAAGTTTTTTGTTTCAAAGAATACAAAGTCTGTCCATGCAAAAGAGGTATAGTTCACTTAAAATAAAAAGTCTGCTGTTTCAAACCTGAATGATAACACCTGGAGCTGAAGACATGAATGGTATAGGAGCCGTCTGAAAAAAAATATTGATTTGATTTATTTAATTGATTTTATTTATTGACTTTTCAGCATCATTACGGGTACCCAAGGACGTTTGTCATTAGGGGACACTGAATTATTTTGCTGTTACAATAAAATGTCAATACCAATTTACTTCATATAAAATACAAAAATTAATTTAGAGAAATTAATAAAATAAATTAAGAATGTTTTGCTAAAGGTCCTATGAACACATTCTCTGAATATTCAAAACATCCATTTTTTAAATGGTTAATTTTATTTATTTATTTATTTATTTGTTATTCGAACATTATCGGAAACATTAAAGGAACATTCCGTTTGATCATTTTGCAAGCATTAGGGTAACGCTACTTTTGAATGTTCTGAGTTAATAACCCGGCTAATAAGGAACATTCTTGGAACTTTACCTAAAGAGCTGGCAAACGTTCTTCCAGTAACGTTAATAGAACGTTTGTTATAATAATTTCTTCAAACATTAGCACAAAAACATGATTTATACATCGTTCATGGAACTTTTTATTTCTGAAACATTTTAGTTGGATGTTCTTCTAATGCTTTTTAAATGTTACTACTTGTTTCAGAATGTCCAGAGAACATTTAAAAGTAACGTTCTCATAATGTTTACATGTTCCTTTGATGTTTGTATAACCAAGAAAAAAAAAGTTTTTTAAAACATTTTAAATATTGGACATTTTTAACATTCTCGGAACATTTAAGAAATAACATGTTCGTAAATTAACGAAACATTAGCAAAACGTTCTTTGAACATATTTTTTTGTGAGCTGGAGAGATGGTCTTTATTAATGTTCTTAAAACGTTAAAGCAGAAAAATGTTAATTATAGACATAATTCAAGGAACTTTTTATTTCTGAAAAAAATTTAGCTGGACGGTTTGTCCAAAGGTATCTACTTGTTTCAGAATGTTCAGAGAAGATTCAAAAGTAACGTCCGCATAATGTTTGCAAAATGATACAATGTAATGTTCCCTCTTATGTTTGCATAACCAAAAAAAATTATAATCATTTTACATTTAAAAAAATTGGATTTTCCAGAAAAAAAATGTTTTAATGATGTATAAATAACATTATTATTATTATTATTATTGTTATTAAAGACAACTTTGAACAAACATTCTATAATGAAGCATGTTTGTTCATAACTTTGAGAGAACCTTGCCAGAACGTTCTGAGAAAGTTGGCTTTTGTGTTTTTTCTTTTCCTGCTGCAGTAAAGTGCATGTGACGGGTTCAGAACGACATGAGCAAATGATAAAAGAATATTAATTTCTCAATGAACTTTAAAGATTCAGCATCTTTCCACTGGCGTGTGACCTTTCAGAGAGGTTCACAGGAAGATCTTAAACTGTAAGGAACTGTAAAATGTGTGCAGTTCTCCTCTGAGCCAAACGTTCAGTTCCTAGATCCGTCTCTGTGGTCGCAGCGATGCTTGAATGAGGCTGGAGTTATAACTCGGATTAAACTTATAAAGTGTCTGACTCTCTGCATTAGAAAGCTGCGCGCGTTCATTGAAGCCAGCTGCGTGCTTTATTCAGGGTGCTTTGTTCAGGATGTTCTGCTCTTCTCTGGAGACGCTGAGCTGTGTGGAGAGCTTTATGAGAGATCGGCTGGCACTGAGACATCAGCAGAACTCGTTCTGAAGCTCATAAACATGCGCTTCAAAGCACTTCAACAGCACAGACGCTTCTTTAGAGGATTTGTAATTGTGAAGCACAAACTGAATGTTTACTCTCTCTCTCGTCTGAGTTTCTGTCAACATAATGGGAGTGGATTTATAATATA